AAGACAAACACTTCGTCTGGGCCCGGACAAGCAGCTCCAACTCAAGAACCTTGGACACAATACGGTCTGACAGAGCACGGGTATCGCGTCCACAACAAGTACCGTTATTGTTTGTGGTGCAACTACGCGGCACATGAGACCGTGAACTGTCCCACGAAAGCCAAAGGCCCCGCTCAGTCGGGAAAGTGATCACCGCCGAGAGTGATGCGACGACACTCTAGGCGCCTTCTAAACAGGTTGTCGAACGGGTAACCTCCCTCGGTTCCGGGGCAAATGCAGAAGTCGTAAGTCCTCCCATTCTTCATTCTTTTGAGGACTATGCTGCCCGGCTCGTACCTTCGCTGAATTCACAAGCCCAAAGACAGGATGTATGTGCGGTTTCTTCTCCGTTCGGAAGTGGCATTGAGTCGTTTTCAAGTGGACCTTCACGGGGTTCGGCGCGCGCATTCAATATAGAGGACTTGGACCCGTTGACGCCCGAGGATTTTGCATGGCTCCTTCTCCCTTCCACCGGCTGCTTACCGGAGCCGCAATGCGCAGCTCTTAGTGCTCATCTACATACATACCTAGCCTTCTATGTACCACCAACTTCGCCGACGAAGGACGAAGTCGCAGTGGGGGACATTCTTGCATATGTTAGCAAGGTGGTCCGCGAGTTTCGCACGCAGCGGTACGCAACTTCATTAGCCAGTCCTTTATGCAAAGGGTCGGCCTTGGCCCACAAGTTCGAAGGAAGGCACACCCTACGGCGATCAAGTTGGCGGACGATGGGACGCAACAACTCCTTGACCGCTACATTGATGCCGTACTGGTCTATTTCGCACCTCATGCATGCGAACCGGTGACGTTTGACGTCTTGGACACGGGCTCAGTTTGGCCATTCGTTTCAGGATGTCTGCCTGACAACATGGTCAATCTGGTCCCATAGACTTCCATCAACTTCTGCCATTGTAGACTTGTGAACTGAACATCCCTATCAGAGACGATGGTTTTCGGGAATCCATACTCAGAGACCCATCGCATTTGAAACTTTTGGATAACTAGTTCGGTTCTAGCTTCAGTAGGCAAAGGAATGAACATAGCATACTTAGAGAATCTATCGACGATGATCATTACCTAACTGTTGCCGTTTCGACTCTTAGTGAGACTCGTAAAGTTGATAGAAATTGACTCACCTGGTTCACTTGGAATAGGCAACGGTCTCTGCAGCCCCATCGGATTCTCATGTGAGGGCGCATTTGAAACTTTTGGATGACTAGTTCGGTTCTAGCTTCAGCAGGCAAAGGAATGAACATAGCATACTTAGAGAATCTATCGACGATAACCATTACCTGACTGTTGTCGTTTTGACTCTTAGTAAGACTCGTAAAGTCGATAAAAATTGACTCACCTGGCTCACTTGGAATAGGCAGCGGTCTCATCAATCCGATCGGTTTTTCATGTGAGGGTTTGTTCCTTTGACAGACAAGACAAGTCCGCACATACATTATTACATCTTCCTTCATTCCTTTTCATTCAAAACATTCTCGCACATCGACATACATCTTCTTAAAACCAAAGTGACCTTTTGCATCATGGCATTCCCCAATGATTACACTCTTATTTGGTTCTTGGTGAGGAATACACAATCTTTCTTCGGTTTGATCCAAATAGAAGAGTATGTCGTCAGTGGTTCGATATTCAGGGAACAACTCAGGATTTTTTTGTAAAGTCTCAATGATGGGACTCTAAATAGGATCACTCCCATAACCCTTGCGAATCTGCTGTTTTAGTTCATTCCCGATATCGAGATAGGAGACAATTGTCCCAAAGAAATTTGCATGCCTGGACAAGGCTTCAGCAACCACGTTAGACTTACCTTTTATGGTTTTCACCTCAAAGTCAAACGTATCCAGGAAAGCGGACCATCTTACCAACTTGTCAGAGAGTTTAGGCCGAGTCTTTATCCACTTCAAAGTAGAGTGATCAAAATAGACAGTAAAATGCCTCCCTAACAAGAAATGTTTTCCAGGTATCGAGTGCAGCAACTAAGGCATACAATTCCCTTTCATATGTGGAGTTGGTCACTTTCTCTGACGGGATTGGGATGAGAACTTGCCTAAAATTGCTAGTGCTTATAATAACAACATACATACTGTTACAGGTAGAACGCCTAATGCACTACATAAAGGATGGAAGCCTAGGCGTCCCATTGATGCGTTAACAAGGGACCAGATTTAGAGGCTACCGCCACGTACCCGTGAATTCACAGGTTTGTATGACGAAGACATCAAGAAGGTGAAGGAAAACATACGGAAAGCCCAGCTGCAAATGATTGAACAAGCCAATAAACATCGACGTCCTTCACAATTTCAAGAAGGAGATCTTGTTTGGGTTAAGTCTAAAGAGTTTTCCTTAAAAGAAAATGTGTCTTAGAAACTGCTACCTATTTACTATGGCCCGTGGGAAGTTCTCAAGGTGATTGGAGATGCAGGACCTTCCTACTGCATCTTGTGTGGGTTTTTTTTCCCAGTTTTGGCCTGGGCTGACGGCGGCCAAGTAGGCCCTTAGATATTCCACGAGACATATGGCATGGGTTATTGCATTCCTGCCATCCCAATTTTCGAGTTCCACCGCAAAAAATTCATCAATTATCACTTAACCCACGTTCATATGCAGCAACAATGTCAGGAGCAGTAGGTAGGAGTTCTTTCCTACTAAACCATCTGGCTTCAGATGGAGGTTCGGATTTGAACTTTACCTTATAGTGCTTCTGAGGTTTTCCTATGCCACCAGTAGAAAAATATCCATGTTCCAATATCTTTTCGACTTCATAACCTCCATTCATACAAGCTGGAAACATAAGTGGCTTACCAGGAAGGTTATTACCTTCTACATAGGGCAGCAACTTAGACGCGCGGAAGACAGGGTATGCCCTTAGATGTGGAGGTACATCTGGACATAAACTCGATAGGTCTATATCTCTTACCGTCGTCTTGTTGTAGCACAACCCCAATCCCATACTGACTTGCGTCAGTCGTGACGATGAAACGAAGAGAAGGGTTAACAATTTTTAAGACAGGGTAGTGAGTCAGAACATGCTTTAACTTTCTAAACGACGACTCACAATCTTTGTCTCAGTCGTGATGTTTTTTCCTTTTTCAGCAGTTTTCTCATAGGAGCAGCTATCAAGGAGAAGTTTTTGATGAACTTCCTATAGTAGCTAGCGAGTCCTAGGAAAGATCTTAGTTCAGATATAATCTTAGGTTGTAGCCAATCTCGGATTGTTGTAATCTTTTTTTCTTTGGGCCTTAGTCCTTCCTCGTTCACTATATGCCCTAAGTACAAGACCTCAGGCTTAGCAAACTCAGACTTTTTCGGATTCAGTTTGTAGTTGCCCTCGTGCAACTTCTGCAAAACCATTTGTAGGTGTTTCTCGTGATCTTCTAGTGTCTTACTATACACTAAAATGTCATCGAGATAGACTACTACGAATTGATCAAGCTATTGTCGGAACAATTCATTCATTGACCTTTGGAAGGTCACAGGCACATTGGTCAAACCGAAAGGCATAACCACAAACTCGTAGTGACCATACCTAGTTCGGAAAGTCGTTTTGTGTTGATCCACAGGAGCCACCTCGAATTGGTGGTACCCTGACTTGAGATCAATCTTACTTAAATACTTGCATCCATGCAATTGGTCCAATTGGTCGTCAATGCGCGGAAGAGGTTCCGCGTTTTTCACCGTGATGGAGTTCAACCCTCGATAGTCAATACAAAGATGCAGTTCACCTTCCTTTTTGGGCACGAATAAGACAGGGGCACGATAAGGAGATGAGCTAGGGCGAGTCCATCCCTTGTCAGTAAGTTCTTGCGACTGCTCTCGAAGTTCGTCAAGTTCCCTGGGAGACATTCGGTAAATGGGACGTTTGAGAAACTTGCTTTCAAGTATGATCTCGATTGTGTGTTTGATAGCACGCTCAGTAATTCCCGTCGGCTCAGTCTGCAAGTCCTTGTACTCATCGAGAAGTTTTTCGATAGAAGGTTGGATAGAATGAGGAACACTCACCTACTCGTTTGACAAGCACCATCATCACCTCCTGATCCAACTTCTTTACTACCATTGAGCGAAAAGTTGGGTACCTCATACAGCACAAAGACATAGTAGAGTCAGAGTCAAACCTATGATATAACCTGAGTACGGACGCCGCCCCGTCGGGCCTGCCCGACCGGGCTAGGCCCAGGTGGGCTGCCCGGGCAAACCGGGCAGGCAAAAAAACAGCCCATAATTTTTTTATTTTTATTTTTAAGGTGGGGTCCTCCTATGTTTGGCGAGAGGACCCCGAATCTGCAATAAAATTCTGGTTTGGGGGGGGGACCAGTTGCCCGGGTGTGAGGGGGGGGGGGG